AAGAAGATAGAAGGATATACAGAAAACTGCTGAGCAATTCAGATGGACTGAGTTCTAACCTACCTCCTAGTCTGGTGGAAAGTTAAAAGCCGAGGACAGAATCTAACACATAGTAGGTGCTCCACTCCGGTGAATCATTGCTACTCTGGCACAGTTTTTACAGTCGACAACTGGACTACATGTGTTAAATTCATATAATTAAACTACTGTTGGGAAGGAAGAATCGAGTGTTTATACAACACCCACTGACATATGTACTAGTCACTATGTAACATGATATCCATCGTCTCATTTAATCTCCCAGATAACCCCATGAAAGCTATACAAATACAAAACAGTACTGAAAAGGTTAAGTGATTCTTTCTCACCCCTGAAGGTAGAACACAGAGTGCTAGATCCAGATTGGCTGGGCTCTCCACTGTTTATTTAATTTCTGTGATTCAGGGTTTTGAGATTTTTTTTTTTTCTTCTGTAAAATAGAATGATTATTGGACCTCCTCTGCAGGCTTGTTAGGAGGATGAAATGGGATCATTCCTATAAAAAGCATTTAAATGTTGCTTGGAACATGGTGCATACTCAATAAATGTAAGCTATTGTTAGAAGTGTGATTTAGCAAAGACAGGATTCGAATCCAATTTCTTCTACTCTCCAGTCCACATTCTTTCTAGTGACCCTCAACTTGGGCAGCCAGTGAACGTCACTGTGTCTGTCCACAAATACATCATTTGGGAAAAACTAGCAAAATTAAGTCTTTATTAAAAACCTAGTATGTTCATAGCACCGAACATATTGGCACCACAGAAAAAAAAACGAAAGCAAAAAATATATACACATACATTTATACATCGATATGGATGTACAAATCTCTCTATATGTGTGTATTTATATATACATGTTTAATTAAACTTAATGGTATGGAACCAATAGCTATATGCAAAGTCCCGGGCTAGGCATCTGTGTCCTCACGGAAAGGGGAGACACGCACATGTGTAATTAACTGTAATAGTTGGCTTTGGGGATGTGCCCAGGGAAATTCAGAGGAAATTCTAGGACAGGCCAGAGGAGGGAGCCCTTCAGGCTGGTTGGGGAGGAATGTGCTGACAGAAGATCCTTGCCCTGGAAGGGTTCTAACTCGGAGGTGGGACATCAACAGGACACCGAGAACAATGTGAGAGCCGATCCCATTGAGTTCCGGATTCTACCAGGCAAGCAATGCTTGTCTAGGAGTTCTGAGATGAGACTAATCCTTCTAACTTGAAGTAAGAAGTAGGCAGGGCTCCTAAAAAGCTGGCCGAAGCCCAGAGGGCCATAGAATTTAGATCCCTGCAAAGAAAGAGAGGGCACTCATTTATTGAGCACCTACTATGTGCCACACAACACACAATCCTCAGGACACGTGCATAATAAGGTCACCGAGACTCAGGGAAGTCAAGCATCTTGCTGAAGGTCTTAGGAACCCCGGTCAAGATGGCTCTGAAACGTGTACTTGAAACCTCCCCCTCAGTCCTTCAAGCCCTTCCCAAACTTTAGGACTCCGCCTAGATGTTCCTCTCCCGACTTTCACTAGACACTTACACCCTCTGTGGCAAAACACCTTGTTTTCACTTAGTACCAGACACAATGGATACTGAAGGAGCACATGCTAAGAGTGGAGGAACAGAAAGAGTTTTATTCTAAAAAGTAGTTTTCAGGACAAAAATCCCCAGGAGGCAAGGACGAAGGGACTCCTGGGGCGGGGGGTGGGCAAGTATGGGATGGTTAGACGGGAATTACTGCCATACTGCAATATCTGTGGCCCCACTCCACTTCAGATTGGGAAGCAGCCTTAGGACTCTTCAGCTCCTGTTCTTTCATTTCACTTAAGAGGTCAAAGATCTCACACAGGTCAGAAGTAGAAGCCAGGTCTCCTAACTCTCAGATGATTGCTCATTGACTGCAGATCGTGAAAGGAGAAGGGGAAATCCATGAAAAATCAAGGCATAGAACAAAAGAGGGATAGCATATGACATAATACTTATTGCATGCAGATAAGAATGTCATGCCTAGGCCAATGATTAGGGCGGACCATGAACCAAGGATTAGAATGTGGCCAGCCCTGTTCACTCAGTCAAAAACAAACACATACATACAAAAGACATACACACATGCATAAAAGTCAGACAGGTGGGGTCGAATAATACATGTATATTCAATAAAAGACCAGTCCAAGGCTTTGCCAATTGCTCCCAATACATTTGGGGACTGAGGTCAAGAAGCTCAAGGAACTGGGAGACTTCGACGTCTCTGTCCCTTCCTCTTGTGCCGGCCAAAGGACAGAAATGAAAACTCAGTCTCCCCGAATGTTGTTTGTCTTTAAGAACCTCGGAAGCACTTAGTCCTTGACAACGACTGTAGATTAAATGGTATTTAGAGCATATTTTGTCCTCAGAATAATTTTGTGAAATACCTATTCCCATTTGAAGGTAAGAAAGCGACAGGGCTGGCGAAGTCGCTCGGCATGGCACTGCAGTGCTGGAGTGAGTGAGGACTTAGCTCCTGAGAGAGTTTACAAGGTCCCAGAGGTCTGGGAATATTCAAAACTACTGTATACAATCACTTAGATGCCCCTGGAAACCATAGAGTGTTCGAATGCCTAATTGTCACAGTTGAAGTGAATTAGTAGTCATCTTTCAACCTCTATTGGGAAAAGAGGGGGATTTTGTGGGGTATAATTTATGTAGTTCAATATAGGTTTTGTGTTTTTTATTTATTTTTTATTGAATGGCAACCTCATGGTTTGTGTAGATGACGTGGAGTTGCAGACAGGGAAAGATGTGCTTAGGCACATTCCTTATCCGTGTCCCAGCCTCCATCCAGTCCCTGGAAACACATGTAGAATATGATGCCATTTTCATTTTATAACCGGAGAAACTGAGTTCTCACATTCTTGGCCCAAAACTAGATGGCATGTTCTTCCCCAACCAAGATCTGAAGCTGGGCTCCTGTGTTTTCAGAATGGTGCCTTCTGGCTTTTATAGAGGGGACATCTGACTCACTTGCTCAGTCTACAGATCTGCATAGTTTCACCACCACTTGCTCTCCCTCCATTGGTGTTCCCTCTCCCTGAAGAGGGCAGGAATGAGCCCAGCCCCCCATGGCATCGGGAACAGCCCAGGACAGGAGCGCACAGGGAGGAAAGTGGCACATTAGTGGAGTGAATTTCACCCCAGGCTTCCAGCATGCCATCCACATGCAAACCTCACACAGCATATTTCCATCACTGCATTATTTAAACAGACTGGTAATGATAATGTGTAATCCACCACTGCTAACTCATTTTGACTTATTAAACACTTGGAGGAAAAAAAGAACTGTTTTGCCATAAGGGGGAGCTTTTGAGTTCTATAAAGAGGGGGAAACAAGAACAAAAATATATGACCTCTATGTGCCAGTTCAAAACATACCTACCCAGCAGCAAACTGGTCAGATCTTTACCTGTAACTTGAGGGCTTTACCTGTTAGAGGACTTGGATTTCTTAGGTTGATGGAAAACAAACAAATAGGCAAATGAATCTTTTTCTCTCATTTTTCAATATAAAATTAAAATAATTTCTGACAACCAACAGAGTATTTTTTAAGAGTATTCAGGAGCATTCGGAGACCTAGTTGTGCTGAGTCCACAGCTTCTGAAAAGGCAAATGCCTTGGAAAATGCCTTTCCTCTGGTTTCTTGTGATGATTCCGTGAGGACAACACTTGGACCAGCTGAAGCCAGCAACACCAGGGCTCAGGGAAAAGGGGGGCCTTTCATCATTGCATAACTTCCAGGGGATTCTGAGAGGGAAAAGGAGAAAGGAGAGGCAGGAGAGAAGGGGAAGGAGGAGAGGAAGAGAAGGGGGTAGAAAGAGAGAAGAGAGAGAGAGGAGAAAGAGAGAGAGGAGAAGGGAGAGAGGAGAGAGAGTGAGGGTAAGAGAGGAGAGTGAAAGGGAGAAAGACACAGCATTTTTAAAAAAAATCTGAGAATCAAGTTTCAAGACTCTTTATGTGCTATAGAGAAGGATGAGGTTTACCAGCAAAGTGCAAAAGAGATCCTGAGAGAAGAGAAAGATTTTTTTTTTTCCTCCCGCCAGGAGAGAAAAAATAATAATGGGGGGGGGGGGCGGGGGCGCAAGGAGAGGAAAAAAGCAAGCAAAACAAAACAAAAACAGGAATGTGTGTGTTTTGAGCAGGAATGAGGAGAGCTGGGAGGACCATAAGGGGGTGTGTACAGAATTTCATTAAATTGTTACTTTAAGATTGTCTTCTTAAAAAAAAAGGAGGGGGTGGAGAAGCGGGAGCGAAGGGAAGGAGGCACACGGCAAAGTGGAGGCAGGCTGGGTAGCTCGGCCTCTCCAAACTGATTGATTAGTCATGATCCCCGCAGTTTTAACAGGGACTCATTCAATTGGGAAGGTGGAGCGCTCGGGAGCAGATTAGCATACGCTTGTTTACTCATCTTCTGAGGGATTTTTCCCCCCTCTTTCCTTTCATTTTGTGAAGAAGGAGGGAGGGGAGGGGGGGACTGGTGGGGGGGAGAAGGGGGCTGTGGCTTGTGTTATAAAGGACGCAAAAAATAAATAAATTAGAGCATCTTTTGGGGGGAGGGAATTCAGCGGAGCAGTGTCTTAGAGGAGCTTTTTTTTTTTTTTTTTTTTTTTTGGTAGAGCGAGAAATCATATAAAATAAAATGAAATAAAACAAGGAGGAAGGCAACCAGCTGTTGGAGGGGGAAATAAGGCAGATAAAGGAGCGGGGAGAGAAATTAATTGCCAGCCAGGAGGAGTTGGGCTGTATTTTTCAAAGGTGGGGGGAGTGGAGCACACACCTTGAGGAGGAAAGCGAGAAAGAAAAGAAAAAAGCAAGTGGAAGGGGGGCTCGCCCAAGAAGGGTGAAGAAGCGAAGAAAGTCGAGGCTCCGAGGCTCTCAAAGCTGGCAGCTCCGGGCGGCGGTGCAGGGGCGAAGGGGGGGCGGGGGGGACCGTCGGACATGCGGCTCTGGAGTTGGGTGCTGCGCCTGGGGCTGCTGAGCGCCGCGCTGGGCTGCGGGCTGGCCGAGCGCCCCCGCCGGGCCCGGAGAGACCCGCGGGCCGGCCGCCCCCCGCGCCCCGCCGCCGGCCCGGCCACCTGCGCCACCCGGGCGGCCCGCGGCCGCCGCGCCTCGCCGCCGCCGCCGCCGCCGCCGCCGCCGGGCGGTGCCTGGGAAGCCGTGCGCGTCCCCCGGCGGCGGCAGCAGCGGGAGGCGAGGGGCGCCGCCGAGGAGCCGAGCCCGCCGAGCCGGGCGCTCTATTTCAGCGGGCGAGGCGAGCAGCTGCGCCTCCGGGCCGACCTCGAGCTGCCCCGGGACGCGTTCACGCTGCAAGTGTGGCTGCGAGCAGAGGGGGGCCAGAGGTCTCCGGCGGTGATCACAGGTAGGCGAGGGCGCCCGGCGGGCGCTGCACCGTCCCCGCGGCCCCTGGGGCGCGCGGGTGCCTGGGCGCGGGTGGCGGGCTGGTCCGGGCTGGCGGGCGTGTCTGTGCGGGAGCCGCCCCGCCGGAGGCGCGGAGGTGCCCCGGGCGAGCTTCCAGACTCACTTGGCCCGATCTGCGGAATGGGCGCTCTCAGAAGGTGTTGCCACCTAACCCCGAGAGGATCGCAGGGAGCGCTCCTGGAGGTCCGGAGACCCTCGGTCAGCAAGAGCTTCTCCCTGGGAGCCTCCAGCACGTAAACCGTGTCCGGGATGGTCAGAAGTACTGTCTCTGTTCAGCATGGAGGGGAGGGTGACCCAATTGGGGTGCATGCGAAAGGAGGCTAGGGGGACCATTGATTTCTTGGACTTTTGAGTCGCGGTAACTCCCCTTCAGTTGACCCGGTTATCCTGACAGCCTGCAGGGATGAGGTTGTTGTAATCTCCCGGACTTAGAAGTCCTTGAAGTGCCCCAAAGTTGCTCTCTGCTTGATGTCTGCCTCTGGGATTCACCCCTTTCCCCCAGCCGCGCGCGCGCGCGCGCGCGCACGCACACACACACACACTGCCATGGTGGCCCTCGCTTTTGAAAGCCGGTTGCCTGTCACTGGGGGCTGGGGCAAGACCTTCCTAACTCACACCCGCCAGTATTCCCTGACGAGGCTGCTAAACGGGGCGCTTTTCTCATTTGGGACTTTGAGTTCTCCCTCCTCACCCTCCCTCTCTGTCCTTTCCCAGTTCCCCAGCAAAGCCTATAGTGAAACCGGACACTTTGCCAGGGTTGCAAACCTTAGAAATGCTCCAACCCCCCCCCCCCCCAATGAATCTGTGGCAATGCCTTTAATAAAACTGGGGGACAGAGGTGGGGTGGCGCTGGAGGAGAGAAGGAAAGTTTTGCCTGTTCTGGCTGGGAGATTCCCTTCCTGCACAAACAATCTTGCAGTGTCCTAGGACGGATTAAAGTGACAGCAGGGGTTCCCCCTTCGCTGCAGCCAGGACCTTGGGGAGGCGTTGTGCGATCCCAGCCCCTGACACACACTTTCTTAGAAGGGGAAGCTCTGAGCCCTTCCGCCGCTCTGCTCCTTTCTGTCTGCCCTGGACTGTCCCTGAGGTCGCGCTGACTCTGCCCTGTTTACGTAGAGTCCACTTCGGGGACCCAAACTCAGCTGCTATGCCAAGAATGTGCCCCCAAAGCTCCCACTCTCCGGCTACCAAACCGAGAGCCAGAAAGTGTTCCCCCCACATCTGACGTCATCGCAGGCTATTTTTTTTCTCTCTCTTTTCCCCAGGAACGAGAGGGAAAGTGAGCTCATTCACTTCTAGCCCCCAAGCCCTCCTCTCCCAGAGCGGGGATAATACAGGGGAGAGGAGAGGCGTTATTCACAATAAGGATGATGATGATAATTCAGGGCTGTGGTGTGTTTACTTCTCTTTCGGAACCTAGGAAAAGCGCAGAGCCTGCCGCTTGGAGAGGATTTTTCAAAGAGGAGTCGATCTGGTTTTTCCTAGTGTTTACCTGTCATAACCAGTGATTTGGAAGGCTTCCCTTCCGCAGGGGAGAGCCCATGGTTCTATAGGTATCATCAATGGAAAGGTAGTAAATGCATTCTCACACACACACACACACACACACACAACACCTGGGATTCCACGGGAGCTTGCTTTATAAATGTCTGTAATTCAGACAAGGATCCTCTCTTCACACGCGCTCCGGAGCACGAGTTCACTCTCTCACACAAAGATTGTGCAGTAAAATCTTTTAATTGGATGGGGGACGTGAGGTTATTATTGCTTGTATAAAATGCCTGGTCCATTTTATGTGTGGAAATAACATTCCTCTCAAAAAGAAAAAAAGAAAAAAAAGGCACTGCTGTACGCCGGAGTGTAGCACCAGAAAGCCAGGAGCTTTTCTCCCGAGGATACTGGTGGATTTTTCCCCTCCCCTCGTTGACTCCGAGCCAGATTTGGCGGTGTGTAAACACCTGGCCCCGAGCCAGAAGACTCATTCTGCGTATCCTCCACACGGTAGAGACTGTTGGGCTAAAAAGAACCTGCTTCTCCTTGAACTAAAACGCAAACAAACAGAGGTTCTTTGCAGAAGCACTTTTCCGGCTTCTTCCTCCGTGTAAGTTTGGGCTGGGAGAGGCAGGGCCCAGGTGGGCAGCAGGGATGCTGGTGCCCAGCCGTGCCCTCCCTCTGCCTGCCACCTCGGGTGCCCAGTTTGCTGCCCGACCTCTGATGGCTCTCTTGGGCTGGGCGGCGCCACGTTCCTAGGAATCCCTGGTCACCTACCTTGAGAGAGCAGGCATCTCTCAGCAGGGACCGCGCTGCTATTTCAGGCCAGGCTGCCTTACATCACTCTTTGCTGCAGGATTCGACTGGGTTTTGCAAAGGTCTAATTTTACGGTGCAGTTAACCGGGTCTGTCGTCTGCCAGAGGCAGGCCTCGCCGCTCCTGGTAGGCGGGCTGTGCTCCCAGGTCTGCCTGGGATGCTATTTCTGCCCCGGTTCAAACTTCACTGACACCAGTTCAGACAGGCGCTTGCAGAGGTGGAGGGAAGGAGGGAAGGAGCAGTTTGCTTCTGAAGCTCAGAAAACATGCCTTTTATTTTTCCAAAAGGAAAAGAGAGAAAAAAAAAAATATATATATATATATATGAATACAGATATGTATTAATAAATATAAAAGGAAAGGCTTGTGTAGGCAAAAACAAAGCTAAAGCTAGAAAGTGCTTGTGTGCAGGATTCTAGGGATGACCCACCAACAGTGGATGGTCTTCAGGACTGAAGAATCCTTTAAGGTTACTGGGATAAAGGTGCTCGGAGGTTACCCAGGCCATTTCTCTCCTTGGCCGAATAGGGAGACAGAAACAGGGACAGGGGAAGGCTGTGTGCTGGGTGGCACAGGTCTTCAATGGCAGGAACTAGGGTTTAATCCTGGGCATCCTCTTTCCAGGCTTGGTCCCCTGCGCCGCCTAGAGAAGGTGTCTAACACACAGTCACCTCTCACCCCTCACAGACCCACCCAGACACAGCCTTCAGTCTTCATGCATGGCAGTTTGGGGTGGAGGGCTTTCTGCTGCATCCCTTTGCTTTTGCACCATACCAGGCAGGATCCAGACCCCTGCCCCTCATCCCCAAGCGCCACCCCCCCCCCCAACCCCAGTGCCCTCCAGTTTGAAAGAGAAAGAAAACAATTGATTCAATTTGCTTCATGGAGCAGAGGCCCTGAGCAGCAGTTAATCTTGTTAAAGTTTCTCCTGACCTGTTAGATAAGTGAAATGTGGACCCCACAAGTGTGCCCTCTCCCCACCCCCATCCCTTGGTGATCCAGAATCCCCACCCAGAAGGAGACAGGGATTTACCTGAGCCCCGTCCAGCATCTCCCCTCCCCTCCCCACACTTTCTTCTTTTGTTCTAAATGTTGGACTGTGGAGTTGGCTGGCTACTCAGAAGCCTGTTTTCTCCCTCCCTTCTACAGTTCCCACTTCTGACTACCCACCGGAGCCCCCCAAAAAGAATACCTGCATTTTCCCAACTTCAGGATCGCTGTAATGGGAAAGCTAGGTTTCAGGGAGTCTAGACATGAATACCGGTCTCCCCCCAACATCTGCAGTCACAGGAGGTCTAGAATATTGGAATGGTGAGGGGCCAGTTTTAGTAGTCAGGTTACCTAAGTGGGAATCTCCCTCTGCCCCTGCCTGGCTCTGTGACCTTGGGCAACCTGGCTGACTCTTCTGGGGGTCATCTTTCTTATCTACAAAGTTAGGATTGTGTGAGTACCTATCCATTAAATGGGTTCATATGTGAAAAGTGCTCAAAACAGGATCTGGTGTATAGTAAGTGCTCAATAAACTTCTTTCTTATTATTCAAAGTGGTTCTCCAAAGATCTCAGTCTTTATTTTATGTACGGAGGACACTTAAAGGCAGGAAGGAACCCAACCGTTCTGGGTGCCTCCAAGGTGCCAGGCATTGTGCTAGGTGCCTTGCTTGGTGCCTGCACATTTTACTCTCGCCATGACCCTGGCAGATGGGCATCATTGCCTCTATTTCACGAATGAGGAACAGAGTCACAGAGGGACGGCTGCAGAAGATTCTCATTTCTTTCTGCCCCTCTGTGTGCTGATCGTCACCTGCCGGTAAAAGAGGATAAAAAATAAGTGTGAGTCTCACATGGAACCCTGGGTTTGACCCAGCAGATCTGTTTTTCTTTGCATGCTAAATTAGCAGACAGACCCGGCTTGGAGTTTCTGTTGCCAGTTACTTGCTGTGTGATTTGAATCAAGTTAGTTCATCTCTCTGTCCCTTGGTGTGCTCATCTGTGAAATGGGCATAATAAGACCAGGATATTGCAATAGAACAACTATGCGGAAAGAACCTGGCATGGTTCCAGCTCCTGTTAGGGACCCAGTCAACACTAGCTGCATCTAGTAAGTAACCATATTCTCTTTTCCAGTTTGCTAGTTTGGTCTTCAGAAAGGGGGACCTGTTTGTGCCCTGGTCAGGCTTTTCCTCTTGAGTTGCTGGGGAGTCCATTGAGAGTAGTCAGTGTATCTTGAAAAAGAGTCAGACCCCCCTCAAATCCCTTCCTTGCACTTTGACTTCCTCTTCTGTTACCTACTTGGATGACCCTTGGTGCTAAGAGCCATAAGAGGTCCAGAACCACTGGACCTGTAAGCAGGAAAACCAGATAGCCCCAAGGGGGAGCATGCACCCCCAGAGCAGGAGCCACGCAGTGTTCACGGAGTCCAGGTCACAGATCTGCTGTCACATGCCTCTTACTCCTTCCCCGGATGCCCTCCCACTTCCACGTTCCCCCCAAGCAGCCCTTCACGTGGACAGACGGGGTGATGGAGGCTGCGTCACCCTTGCCCCTCTGCACAGAGGAAGGCAGACTTGAGCCAGAGCTGTGGGGCTCAGGAGCTGGCTTGTGCATGGTCAGCGCAGGCGTGGACTGGGTCAAAC